TTTATAGTTTACTTCATTTTGAATAATGACTTTCTTATTCAGCTTCTCATTTTAACATTTCTAAGTGCCTCTTTCTCCCAGTTGATGGGATATTTCTTATTGCCGCTGCCAGGAACATTCTTTCCCTGGTTCCTTACATGGTTGAATTCTAATATCCAAGGTCACAACTCAAGTGTTATCCCCTCACAGAAGAACTACAATTATTCAATCACATTATTTATAGAAATGTTCAATTACATATTAGTCTCCTGTTAGGAGCTTTCCCCCTCAGAACTGCTGCATGCTACTTCAACAAAGTAAAACAGATCCAGGAAAGAGGGACATATAAAGTTGGAATTAAACAACAATAAGAAAATGGTATAAAGAATAGCCACATATGGCCAAATACACACACACACACACACACACACACACACACATATAAAATCTATCTATATATGGAGAGAGAGAGAGAGAGAGAGAGAGAGAGAGAGAGAGAGAGAAAGAGAGAGAGAGAGAGCGCTTTGCCTCACACTAATCCCCAAAATCAATTCTAAGTGCATTAGAAACCTGCATATATAAGACAGAGCTATAAAACATTTAGAAGACAATGTACAATATTTTATGCCTTGGAAAAGGGAAGGACTCAAAAAGCCCAAACTATAAAAGATTGATAAATTAAACTACCATTAAATTAGGAACGTCCATTCATCAAAAACACCATAAAGACAGTGAATCATCCATAAATTGGTCAAAGATGTTTGTAATACATACAACCAACAAATATTTAACATCCAGATTATAAAAAGAATGTCTATAAATCAATATGAAAAGATCAACTACTTAAAAAGAAAAGTGGACAAAACCTGGCAAAGAATTTGGAAGATACATAATATGAAAAGATGTAGTAATCTGAGAAATGAAAATTAAAATGACTGTAAGACAGCATTTTGTAATAGTCTGTTACACTGGTGGCCTCCAATAGCTACACCTCCCACTAGTCTCTTCACCTTAAATCTAATCTGTTCACTTTAACACGTGGCAAGTTCTGAGTCTCATCTGTAAAGAGACTTGATAGCTTCCATTTTTGTGCTCTGAGAGCCCTGAGCCTTTCGGTAAGAAGTTCAAGGGCTACATGGAGCCAGAGGCCATGAGTAAGCATGAAAAGACTGAGAAAGGCCCAGTCATGCCAGGGTCATAGCTGTAATGCCAGTTCCATGCAGCTACATGAATGACTGCAGGCAAGGTCAGTAGAAAAGCCACTCAGCTTTTCTCAATGCCATTCACAACCTCGTTGTGGAGTATATAGTTTGTTAAATAGCAGTAGATAACTGAAAATATAAGTCAGTTACTTTATATTTTCATCTTCCCAAAACTCAAAGGTGAGAAAAACTGCCAAATATCCTGAGGGGGTAAAAATCCACTGAACTTAGTCTTTAAGTTTTTTTTTTTTTTTTTTTTTTTAAAAGAGCATATGCCTACCAGGCATTTGTGGTTAGTTAACTAGATTTCATGATATGTATTAGAAGTTTTTTGGCACAAAGAGGAATTACAATTTCCAAGAAAGAACAATTTCCAAGATTCAAGTGATAAAAGCCAGAGTTTAAATCTTCACTGCCAGCTATATTAAAATGATTAAAATATATTTATCTAACACAGCACTACTGTAGCCAACAGTTAAGTTCCAAAGTAGAAAATATCAAAATATGTTAAGTGACAGAGTACAAAACTGCAACTATACAGCTATAGAATTTTAGTTTTCATATATGCCAGTAAAAATCAGAAGAATTTCACAAGTACTTATTACTATTTAATTAAGCCTGATTTGAAAATCTGGAATAATTAAGGATGCATGACTGTTAAAAAAGTGTATATAGTCTCATCCCTTCTCTCATATTGGTACCAACTGGTCTATAATAATGGTATAATAATGGCAAAACATACCAACAAGCAAAACATTTAATAAGCCAGTGAAAAGTGATATGATAAAAAAAAATTTCCCATAAATTTCAAAGCAAGTGTCCTGAATATCAGAATAATGTTGAAGTTAATTTTTGTTCATGGTACAAAGTAAGGTTCTAAATATATAAGGGTCTAAATCTTGTTTTTAAGTGTCTATTTATTCCATCATCATTTGTTGAAAAGATTGTCCCCATTTAATTAAATTAGGATCTACAGAGCCAATTAACCATATTTGTTAAGGTTTGTTTCTGAACTCAATTTTGTTCCTCTGGTATATGTCTACCATTAAGGTGGTACTGTACTGTCTTGAATACTGTGTACATTTGTTGCCTATTTCTGTATAACAAGTTCCCACAAATGCAGAACCTTAAAATATTATAAATTCAGTAGTACACAGTTCCATAGGTCAGGAGTATAAGCACATTTTGCCAGGTTCTCTGTTTGGTTTCTTACAAGACTACATTCAGATGGGCTCTAATTTAAAATTTCTAAGAAAGAATCTGATCCATGCTCATGCAGACCCTTGACAGAACAGAGTTCCTTGTGATGTAGGACTTAAATCTTAATTTTTATACTGTTGGCCACAGTCTATTTTTAGCTTCAAGTTCCCTCCATCTTCAAAGTCACAAATGGTGTGTTAAATTGTTCCCATGCTTCAAATGTCTCTTAACTTCGTCTTTTGTTCCCAGCCAGAAAAAAATTCTATTTATCTCATGTCCTTAGACTGAGTCTATCCAGATAATCTTTTGATTGATTATATATCATAACACAATCATGAGAGCAAAGGTAGAAGAGGACAAAGGTTGTGTTGGCCATCTTAAAATGCTTCCTACTGTACTATAGTTTTAAAATAAATTTTGAAATTGTAAAAGACAATCCTCCACTTCACTCATGTTTCTCAAAATTGTTGTGGTTTCTCTCATTTCTTTGCATTTCCATATAAATTTTAGGATTCTTTTATCAGTTTCCATCAAAAAATTTATCAAAATCTGTTAGAATTCTGATAGGGATCACAACAATCTACAGATCAATTTGGGAAGAAAGACCATTTTAAGAGCATTTGAGTAGTTCATGAATGTGGAACCTGTTTTCATTAATTTAGATTTTCTTAGATTTTTCTTAGCAATGTTTTGTAGTGCTCACTGTACAAATATTGCACTTCTTTTACTAAATATATTCATTTTTAATTTTAATCAAAAGTGAACAAAACTAAAATTGATTTTGACATTTAGATCTTGTATCTTGCAACGTTGTGAATTTGTTAGTTCTATCAGTTTTTTTGTAAATTCCTTAGGATTTTCACATGTAAGGATCTCATTATTTGAGAACAACCACAGTTTGAATTCCTTTCCACTAAATTCCAGGAATTTATAGAAAATTTGTTCTAATACAGTTTTCTCTTCCTCCCTTTCCTTTGTGCAAATGTGTGCATGCGTGCACACACACACACACAGCATCTGTCTTATAAATTCACTAATATACTTTTATAATTATTATTCTATTCAAGTATCTTTAAAATAATTTAAGAGGAAATACATAATTGCCTTTATTGGTACTCTTTATTTCATTGCATAGATTTAAGTTATTGCTTTATGTTATTTCCTTTAATTTGAACAGACTTCTATTGATATGTAATGTAAAGCAGGCACACTAGCAATTCTCTCAATCTTTATTTATTTGGGAATGTCTTTATGTCATGTTCACTTTTTAATAATAGCTTTGCTGCATTGCCAAGGAACTTTTTTTTTTTTTCAGTTCTTTGAATATGGCATCCCACTGTTGTATTCTCCATGGTTTCTGATGAAAAGTCAGCTGTTAATCTTATTCTTTTTATCTACAGAACTCTCATGCTGTGAGGAGCTTAATAGTATAAAGAGCATGACATCATCTTACATTTTTGGTTTTTAGAAGTATGGTGTAGCTTCTTGAACTGACAGTACAATCTGGGCTTGTTGAAAGTGGTACTATGACTCAAAGGTAGTTCAGTATTAAAATAGTTGGAATTAAGATATATGTTACATATTACATACACATTAAAATGCATAAAATAAAATTAGAATTAAGATGCCAAGGTGCTTTATCACTACATGACTATTTAACTTTATAATTAAGCAAAAAGTCTCATTAGCAATACCACATTCCAGCAGAATTATTATTATTATTATTATCATTTATCTATTTTGACTTTTCCTCATGTGCAAACTTCAAGCTCAAAACTGAAGTTACCTCAGTCAGAACTCTTAACTCATCTGAAACAATTGTTTCTAGGTTGAACAGTAATGATGTTTTTTAGAATGTTTGCAAAAATCTTTAGGATCTTTAGGATTTCTACTGTTCAAGAGGAAAGATAATGCTCTAATACATTATCTATATTTTGATACTTAATACAAATACATTGATCACTTCTACAATGTCTTAACACAAAGTTTATTTTGCATTCACCTAAATATTGAAGCCCATACAGACATAAAAGACAAATATCAGTTGCCAGAAGACAAGGAGTGTGTCTTTAGAGCTTGTTTTACATCAAAACTGGTAAGACTCTGAACATTCATTTAATCATATAATACTACTAAGTGATATATGTATGAATAAATAATATTTGTGTGATTAATACATATATGCAAATGTGCAAAATATTTACATTTTATCAATTTAAAGTTTTTATGGGTCATCAAGTCACTTTTATTGTAAGAATTATAAATGAATTAGTAAAGGCTTATTAAGTGCATTTCAAAAGAAATGAGTAACACACAGCCCATTTGATTTTCATTGAGTAACAGAGCAGTGCATTTTCTTTACCATTCCTCTTATGCTTTTTCATATAACCAAGAGAATTCCCACTGACCCTTAGCCTATTTAAGGTAATTATTCCTGACTTTTGAGACCCAGGAAAAGAAGAAAGGAAGGCAAAAGACAACAACTCAATCACATGCAGTATCTGCAAATTTATTTTAAAACAATATTACATACTGTGTAACAAAAGCAAATGACTCTTTTGACATCTTGTTAGTCCATTAAAACAAACAAACAAAAAGGGTAAAAATACAGATGCTTACCTGTTGTTCCTGCGTTTTAGCAGCATTAAGTTCTGAAAGAGACATGGTGAGCTTCTCCTGCTGTTCTGATAGGTATTTCTGATAGAGACTTAGAAGTTCTTGGCATTCTCTGTACTGTAGCTGAAGAGGTAAGATTTCAAATTAAGGGAAAAACATTTAAAAAATGGATCCAAACTGCATAATCAGTGCTACTTTTTTTCAGTTTTCAATAAACAGAGGTAGAAATGTAACAATATTTAGTAACAAAAAAGGTAAATATATAGTCAACAGATGGAAACAATACACATATTTCCCCCCTAATCATAAAACAACAATTCACAAAGACGGTAGCAATGGTCATCCCATGAAAGATAAAATTATTTCTCATGCCTTTAGATTTGAACAGATAAAAACAAATGCAGATACATGTAAAATAAATTCCTACCTTATGCCATGTACAAAATAAAATGAAAATATATCACTGATCTAAATGCAAGAGTTAAAACTATAAAACTCTCAGAAAAACACAAAAGTACAACTTTTGACATTAGATTAGGTGATGATCACTTCAAATCATGAGCACCCCCCCCCAAAAAAAAGATTAAAACTGGACTTCAATATTAAAAACCTTGTGCTTCAAAGTGTAAAAACATGGAAAATATAATCCTCATGATGAGAGAAAATAGTTGGAAATCATATATGATAAAAGACTGGTATCCAGAATATATAAAGACCTCATTGGAGACCTCTTACGACTCAACAATAAATTATTAACCCAATTAAAAAATGGGCAAAGGATCTGCACAGATTTCCAAAAGAATATATAAATGGTCAAAAAGCATAGAAAAAATGGTAAACATAATTATCTATTAAGAAAATAAGAATCAAAAGCAAAATTACATGCACTAAAATAGCCACAATCAAAAAAAGACTAACAAAAGGGAGTGGTTAAGCGAGTGGCTAACAAGGATGTAGAAAAAGTGAAACCATTCAACATAGCTAATGGGAATACAAAATTGTGTTGCCATTTTGGAAGACAATTTGGTAGTGTTTCAGAAAATTACACACTGAGCTTCTGTATACTCTCAAAAATATACCCAAGAGAATGAAAATACATGTCCACAAAAAATCTTATACATGCATATTCAGAGCAGCTTTATTGGTAACAATGAAAAACAAAAGCAACCTTGATGTTCGCCAACTAATAAGTGAATAAACAAGGTGTGAACTAGATATATAATGGAATATTATTTGGCCATAAAAAGACTGAAATACTGCTATTTGCTGAAAATCTTGAAAATGCCGTGTTCAATGAATGGGGTACACAACGAAAAGGTGCATTTAATATGATTTCACATATGTGAAATATCCAAAATAGGCAAGTCCATACAAATAGAAAGTAGACTGGGGTTGCAAGGGCTTGGGAGAGACGAAATGGGGAATAACTGCAAGATATGGGGTTGGAGGAAAAGACAATAAATATGTTCTAGAATGAAACTGTAGTCATGTTCGCACGTCTTTGAGAATATATTCAAAAAATTTTAGTTGTACACTTGAAAAGGGTGAATTTATTTTCTGTAAATTATATCTCAATCAAGTTGTTATAAAGAGCAAAGTAGAAATGATGACATTGGTAAAAATAATTATTGCTTAATTTACACAGAAAGTTCCTAACATATTAAACATAAAGGGATTATAATTTTTTTATTTAAAATTTGATTTTGGTCATTTATTTTGTTTAACATCAGATAAGTCAATGTGTCATTAATCAATGCATCAGCTGGGAATTTTCTTTATAGTGTGGTATAAAGAACATGGCAATCTACCTTGGGGTATCCTCTCTCACAGTCCCTAAAACTTGAAAAATGCTGAACATGAAAATAATCAAAAAGTCACCTAACTTCATGACCAAGTGTCTGGGAGACATGTTTCTAGCCAAGAAACATCTCATTGTGGTAATTTTCTCCTCAGGCTCCTTTTTTCTTCAGATCATTTTTGAGTCTCCCTCTTAACACTTACTTATGCATGCTGTTGGTGTAGGAATTACTGTTCAGTGGGATTATTCTATATAAATAATTTTACAACGGGTCATCATGATTAAGGGTGGAAGTAATATTTCTTAAATGTCAAAAATGGTGACTGGTTTCAGTATTCCTTAACATTTTCATAACCTATTCATTGCTTCTGGGCAGATTCCTATTCTAATAACTTTTCCCAATCATAACTGCATAAATAACCAATTGCTTCATTATTCTCATTATTAACCTTTAACAGAAAAGGAGCCAAAGATGGCTTATAAAAGAGGAACTGATTCACAGTAAAAGGATAGGTTACTATGCTTAGAGAATACATTAATTAGAAGAGCCTGTTGAATACCTGGTATCTTAACGACAGTAACAACAATAGCGTGAATGGTGGTCTAAATAATCTAATAGGTTTTCAAAGTTAATCTATGTTAGACAGGTTGGCTTTACATTTCCATGCTTTTTGTCAGCAAGCGTTTTTAAAAAAGGAATGATTTGTGGTGATCCCAGGAGTCTCTACCAGCCATTATGTATATAAAAAGAATTTTTTATTCTAGCTGTTACATAGGCAGTAATGTTTATAGTAGGTGAACATATTAGCCTGGTCACAGAATATGAATTTTACTCTGGAAAAATCAAGCACAATTATACATCCTAGGAGTTAAATGTCAGTGTTTGAGACAAATTATAGGCAAATTCATTTAAATACATGCCATGTGGCAGAATATAAAAACAAGTAGTCCTATCCTCATCAGTTTTTTGTGTCTTTCCTGATTTTAGCAGATTTCAAAATGACCTGCTTTTCCTTCCTCCTTAACACAATGGGACTGCAGTTCTCCATCTGGAGAGAGAATAATAAATGCTAGGAAAATGTGGGTAAAATGCCCTCTTTACTGATTTGGGGAGGAGAAGGGTTGTTAATGAAAAGAAGACATATTTGACTCAATCCTGGCCAAATGACAGGAAAGATTATGTAACAGATAAGGAAGATCAAACCTAACAAAAGGTGTACACTAAAATTAACACTGGAATCTGTCTAAGCACCATTTAAACACCACCATTTGTGATAAGTAGTCATCACAATCTCTTTGAATAAAGGCTTCATAGCATAAAATAAATAAATAAAAATTAATGTTAACATCACATGAAGACCTAAACATCCAATTAATTAACTGAAATGGCTATAGAAAATGATCATTTTGTAAAGTTTAAAGGTTTAACTCTAAAATATATTACATAGAAAAATAAAACAATGTTGGCACAGAATGAATGGGGAGATGAGAGAAATAATAAAAACTGTGTAAAAGAAAAATCAGAGGTAGAGGGAAAAGGAAGGACCAAAGCCAGGATATACTACCCGTCAGCTGTCACAGTAGAAGAAAATTGTCCTAAACTGGAAGAATTCCTCTGGCCCAGCAGACTCCACCCCCATGTGCTGCGCCACTTTACCCTTGTCTCCAATGCTTGGGATAGTTGGGTTTGGTACTTAGTAATGCTGACTTAATACAGAACCAAGAAAAGACAGGCATTTGTGAGAGGAGAAAAGTAAAACATAAAAAAAAAAGTCTCCTTTATTTGGAACCAAGATTACTTATAAAATAGCTGAATCCTATTATGGGACAGGGAACTTACAAAATGAGTTTCAAATATCTTATGATGCTAATGCAAGAAAACGTCCAAAGACAAATAGATGGGGGCTCATTAAAGGAATAGGTGCTAGCCTAAAGGAGATTCTCATTAGCCAAATTTGAGACAATTTATACACTGAAATAATCTGCTAATTAATACCAAATTGAATAAATAACACACCAGCTCATAGAAACACTTCAAAAGGGGAGAAGAATGGAAACAAAAAAAAATGCAAGTCCTCTTTACAGAAGAATTATTAATATTTTAACTGAAAGAAACAGACAAATCCAGAATATGGGAAATTTTACAAATATTTAGTCTGAAAAAAAGCAAAAATCTGTACAGAAGAATACTAGATATTTACTTAAAATGAATTTTAAAAAATTATCCCAATATAATAATGAATTCAGGCAAGGATCATCAATGGACAACAAAGCATTAGATGAAAGGTTAATTAATAAGATATTCAAACGGTATCAATATTATTTACTTACAGCAAGGAAGAAAATGTACCTTTAAAATGGTAAAATCTGGTGGTTATGCCTAAACAAATATCAATTTAGAATCACTAACAGTGGAAAAATGGAAATCATATATCTTCTAATGTACGAAGGAAGCTTTCATCTAAGAAATAATCAATAAATATGTTTAATTGGAATCTAATAAAATCTGTAAACCTAAAGCCTACTTCACAGAAATAAGAATAAAAGAACAAGTTAAATTCTCTCTCTCTTTGTCTCTTTCTCACACATACATACACATATACACACATACACACACAAAAATCCAGAATGTGGTAAAATTTCCAAAGCGATTGGCCTGAATTCCTCAACAAGTCAATGTCACATGGGAAAAGGTTTGTGATGGGAGGTCCATTCTTGATGAAAAGACCAAAGATACAATCAAATGCAACCCATGAATCATGACTGAATCATGACTGAATCCTGGTTCATGAGAAAAAAGCTATAAAAGATTCTTGGGCCAATTAGGAAAACTAGAATATGGACTCAGGAACAGTTGATACTATGAAATTACTGCTAGATTTCTTCAGTATCATCATGTAGTGTATAAAGTGAAATGTTTTTACTTTAGGTTACAAGTCTAAAGTATTTAGGGTTAACATGACACCTGTTATTTTCAAGTGGTTCTGAAAAAAATAAAGCAAATAAAATTTTATGTGTAAATTTATAAGTAAAAATATATTCATATAAAAACTTATATGTTACAATTATGTTTATATAAATTATTTATAAACAAATATAAATGTATATGTGAAAGGAAACAAAGTATATAGTTAAATATCAATAATTGTGGAATCTAGGTATATGGTAACTCACTGCAATATTCATCAATTTTTCTACATATTTAAAAATTACTGTAATAAAAGGTCGCAAAAAAGCTTTTGTTGTTGTTGTTTGTGTTTTTGTTTTCCTACTATTACTCAGTCTCTCTTGGTCTTCCTACTTCTACCATAAATTAATATGTGAGAAGTGGAA